AGGGAACTTAATTAAGAATGGAGTTCACAGCTCCCCTGCTGAGAGTCAGCCCAGGGTGGCAGGATGAAGAAAGGAAGTCACAGTCACAGCAGGCTGCAGACAGGGACAAAAGGGTACAGCAGAGAAGAACCTTGGCACTGGGCAAGGGGGGTGGCTGGGATACTATTTTGGGAGGCGGTCACGCATCTGATCACAAACCCAGTCCGATCACACTCTGTTTCCACAGGCAGAATTCCTGGGCCCGAGCTGGAGCACAGTCCCGGAGGCCACTGTCCTTGGAGGCAGAGAGGCTGTGTCATTGCACGGGATGCTCAGGCAGGGGCCATCCTGGAGAGTCCTCCCCGGGCTCTGGCACCTCAGCTTGCTCTCTGTCCTTGCCCTCTGCTCATTCAGCCTCCCCCTGTGGCCTCCCGAACTCCGAAGGCCCTGGGTCCTTGCCCTTGTTTAGGATTTCAGAAAATTCCTGAGACAACCACCCACGACAGCAACGGAGTGAGGAATCTGGCGTAGAAGCCAGTTTCATTTGGCCGGCGGCACAGTGTTTTGAAAAAATATAAAGCAGGGTTCTGAAAACTGGCGACTGTGTGTGGCGAGCACAGCTGTGCGTGGGGCTCAGAGATGAGCGCGGGGGCAGGGAGGGCAGGACGAGGCCTGGAGATCACAGCACATGCCCACGGACGCACAGCCACGGTTTCATGTGGACGTCAGTCAGCAGTGGGCGTCCAAGTCCACTACACGTGGCAGAGTGGACAGGGACAAGGGCGTCGATAAGGAAAGGAAATGCACTTCTCTTGGTTTCGAGGCTGGAAGTCCAAGGACAGGGCGCCGCATCTGTGGGGCCTCGTGTGCCTCCTAAAGTGGCCAGGCCAGCACGTGGACGGGCCGAGCTCACAGGACAGCTCAGGCTCTCCTCCTCCCCTCAGAGCCCCTAATGCCATCCCAGGCCACCCTCAGGACCTCATCCATCCTAATCACTCCTGAAGGCCCCCTGTCCAGGTACCATTAGCAGATGCTGACGAGGCCGGGTAGGGTGGCCAGGGCAGATGGGGGGTCAGAGAGGCTACACGGTAGAGGGGCAGCCAGGTGAAGGAGAGGGTGGCTCTGAGCACAGGAACAGCGGGTATGAAGGAGAGGCCTGAGCCCAGCGTTCCAAGTGAGGCGGGTGAGAGAGGAGGACTGAGAGTGGGTGGCCCCATGGCTTCATGGCGAGGAGAGGGGTGGCAAGTGGGGTCTACTGCTGCTGTGATGGTCACACTCTCCAAGGATGACAGATGGGAAGTGTCAGCAAATGCTCTCTTCGTGCCTCCTGCCTTAGAGGGGAGGTCCCATGCTGCCCCCGCCCCCTCTTCCTGGGTCATAGAGGCTGGCCTGGGCCACCTCAGACCCTTGTCACAGCCTTGATCCAGGCACGACATCCTCCTGACATGGCTCAGCTCCTTCTCCATTCAAGAGGAAGTCACCCCTCCCTACCTCAGTGAAGAGGCAATTGCCACCACTCCTGCAGCTTCCCGCATCTGCCAGCCCCTCTGACACCCACTGAGTACAAAGGGAGGGCCAAGCAGGGGAAGCAACGGCTCATCTCAACCAGGAGCTTACCATTCTCTGACCTGGGCAGGTGGTTCAACCTGGGTTTCTCTAGCAAGATGTTCCTGAGGGCTCCATAGCACTCCCTGCTGGTCCCTCTGCTTTAATGCCTATCCTGGTGGTAGTTCTCATTCAGTTGACCACTCTTCCTCAGCCTATGCTCCCTTGGCCATCCCTTCTTTCAGTACTAGCTCACTTCCAGAGGATCCTTGCAAAAGAAATTAAAGCCACTCCTAGCTGGCTTTTTTTTTGCCCTTGGATCTACATGTGGTCCAAAGAAGCACTCATGTATCCTTGGTCTACTCCAAGGTACGTCAGGTACATCACTGTCATCATCATCAACAAAATCATCATGATCCCCATCACCACCATCATGACCATCACCACCATCATCACCATCATCACCACCATTATCACCACCACCACCACTATAACCACTGTCACCACCATCACCACCATCATCACCACCATTATGATCACCATCACACCATCATCATCACCACCATCACCACCATCACCACCATCACCATCACCATCATCATCACTACCATCATCACCATCATCAACACCATCATCATTGCCATCATCACATTCACCATCATTACCATAATCGCCATCATCATTATCATAGTCATCACCTTCACCATCATAATCATCACCACATCACCATCACCATCATCACAATTACTATCAACCATCATCACCACCATTACCATCACCATTGTCATCACCTTCGCCATCACCATCACCATCATCATCATCACCACTATTGCCAGCACCATCACTACCATCATCACTGTGATCATGCCATCACCATCACCACCACCACCACTACCACCTTCATCACCACCACTGCCATTCTCATCATCCTAATCATTGTCCTCACCATCACCATCATCATCATCATGACCACCATTGCCATCACCATCTCCACCATCATCATCATCTGTCACCCTCATCAGTCTCATCATTGTCACCATCATCATTAACATCCTTAAAATCACCATCACCACCAACACACACATCATTGTGGTCATCATCATAAATATAATCATCACTCTAAACCCAGAGTCAGATATTTTCTTAAAGATCCAGACAGTTAATATCTTGGAACTGATAGGCCATTTGTTCTCTGTCATCAGTACTCAAATGTTTTCGTAGCTCTTTTGAACCTACAGACGACATATAAATGAATGGGTATGGCTATATTCCAATAAAACTTCATTTACAAAAATAGGCATCCAGTTGTAGGCAGTAGTTCACTAACCCATGATCTGCAAACTTCAGAAACAATACTTTGCAAGAAGAGAATCCTGTGGTCCGCCTGTGCTCTGTAACAGCCCACAAACCCACCTTACCATAAAATCTCAGCCCGTGAAAATGTCCACACCTATGCAAATGCAGACTAACAGGGCTTCCCTTGTGTTCACCCCTTGGCTTCAGTAACCTTTCTCCCATTCTTTTAAGAAGCTCTTAAGAGAAAAAAGCTGAGGGGCAGTGGTAGGAGGTAGGAGACGGCCAATGAAGGGTCTAAGATTAAAAGGAAAAAAGAGCATCCAAGAAACCTCTTCTCTCAGTTGGAGATGCTTGTAACTGTCTCTTTAAGTCATTTCGGAGGCTCTGATGGTTTGGGGTCAGAGAACTCCTAGATCTTCAAACCCTGAGGCAGACATCCTTTCTGACATGGCTGCCCTGGCCTGTCTGACTTTCTAGAAGGGCCGAGGAGAGCTGCCAGTTTGAGTGTTCTTTGTGAGCTAAGTGACTTCAGTGATTCTTGCTGATGGCGACATCTTGGGACCATGGAAGGTCAAGGGACAGCTGTGAGTGGATCACCAGGCGTACCATGTGTGTGACCTTGGGCAAGGCCCTTTGCCTCTTGAGCTCCAGTTTGTACATCATCAGATTGGACTATATCTGCCCCTGAGGGTGAATGGAGGATGAGATGAAATAATGAAAGTGGAGTCATACTTTCTTGAATATGTGAACTCAGTGGGGATAGGAGCACAAAGATGTTGTTTTTCTCCCCTCCTGGGTTTGGCTGTGTTTCTAAGCCTTGTTTTGCCGTCCTCTATCAGCATCTCTGGCAGATGATGGATACTTACTAATTCCCTTCCCCTGGATCCAACCCAGTTCATTTTCTTTTGATTTTTCTCCCTTGTAAAGCCACAGAGTCCCCTCGTTTAGTCACTGAAAAAATACATCCTGGCCTCTGCTCCATGCCATGGGGCACAGAAATGAAGTGGGCAGGTTTACTGCCACCCTGGAGCCCTGGGTCTAGAGGGTGATTATGCAAGGCCCTCAAATGGACAAGGTTTGATCACCCTCTAGTCCTTACAAAGAAGGGCAGAATTGGCACTGCACAGCCATCCCACCTGCCCCAGGCAGGACTCCTGTGCTACCTGAGTCAGGGACAGGAAGGCAAGGAAGAGAGTCCTTTGGAATTTTGAGTCCTTAACTGAGCACAGAGTGCAGGGACCTTGTCCATCTTTCTTCCATGACTGGAGCATACGCCCATGCTATGGTTTAAATGTGTGTTCCCAAAGATCACAGATTGGAAACCTAATCCCCAAGTTCAAGTATAGGTGGCACTTGGGTGGGAGGCCTCTAGGAGGTAATTAGGATTAGAAGAGGTCATAAGGGCCCCATGACAGTACTGGTGGCTTTATAAGAAGAGGAAGAAGATCCAAGCTAGCTCGCCTACTTCATGCTCTCTGCCATGCTGACATGGCAAGAGGCCCCTCCAGTCGCCAATCAGAGGCTGGCTTCAGGCTTTGAGACTCCCAGCCTCCAGAACTGTGAGCCAAATTGTCCAACAGCAAGGCTGGGAAACAACCCAAGGATACTAATAATCGATTCAAAAGAAGAAAGTGGAGGACACAGCAGAAAGGTTTTGTATATTTTATTACTGAAGTGCTCCTCGAGGCAGGGGGCTGGGACACATGGAGGCCATACCACACTTACAAGCAGGGGGAGTGTATGGGGTAGGTTACCCGTCTATCCTTTTTCAGAGGTTTTCTTCAGGTGTTTTATTGGTGCATTGTTTTATTTTATAAGCAAGTTCACTCTACACACATACAGGCTGGAGAAAAGGGAAGAGGCCAGTTTTCCCTCTCCGTTTCCTTCATTATCACCGTCTTAGAGTCCTCCTTCTCTCATGGATGGAACAAGCTTTCCTAGGCACTGACTAGCATTTACTCCAATGCAAATCAACTCCATTTTTTAAAAAAATAAATCACCCTGTTTCAAGCATCTTGACATTGCAACAGGAAACGAAATAAGATAGCCCTTGTAAGAGCCCTTCCTGCACCTGCACCGGGAAGTCACTCAAGCCCACCCATCAGTGTTGGCCGGAGAAGCAACACCCACCAAAGGTCCAGGAGGACAAGAGCAACCAATGAGCTGGAGCATTTGTCCTCATCCTTCACCTTCCTCCTTCCCGACCCCAGAAGAGGGAGTGGGCAGGAAGTGACTTGGAGACAGATCCCAATGGCTTCCTGACACGCAAGCTCAGGGCAGAGGGAGGAATAAAAGCAGAGTTTGCTTCCTTCTTATTGCATTTCCCCTGAGCCTCTTGCCTGGCTAGGGATCAGATAGCAGAGGAGCAAGGGAGGAGATGGACTTAAATCAGAGATGAAGATGTAGATCTAAAGAGGCAAGACTGGGGTGCTAAAGACCAGCACTGCTGGACAGCTCTGAGCATCTTCCAAGGGGCACTTCTCAGATGGCGTCCCGTGTAGACCACCTGAGTGAGTCAGGACTCATTTGGTGGCTAGTTAAGGAAACCTGATCCAAATTATATTCAACAGAAAAAAAGATGCATTAATTTCATAGCTGAGGAAGGATAACTGGTTATCTCTTGAAGGAGGGGCCACAAGAACCAGTGCTTCAGGGTCTACACCCGTACCCAGGAACAATACCTCATGCATCTCTCCTTCTCCTCCCTCCCTCTTTCTTTCATCTCTTGCTCTGTTCCTCATTGAACGTTCAATTTACGTATTTACATATTTGTATGATTGTTTGTTTGTTTATCCACCAGCAACTTGAAGGTCTGTGTTAGTTTCCAATTGTTGCTGTAACAAGTTACCCCAATCTTGGTGTCTTCAGATGAACCAAATTTCTCTTCATGTTACTCTGGAGGTCAGAAGTCCAAGATTGGCCTCAGTGGACTAAAGTCAAGGAATGCATGGGGATGCATACCTCAGGAGGCCCTACCGGAGGAGGATCTGTTTCCATGCATAGTTTCTTTCCTCCACCTTTCAAGAGAGCAATGGCCAGTTGAGTCCTCATGTCACTTAGATATGACACCAATCTTCTTCTATCTCCCTTTTTGACATTTAGGGATGCTTATGGTGATATGGGGTTCATCTATCCAGACAATCCAGGATAATCTTCCCTTCTCAAAATCAACTGGTTAATTACTTTAGTTACATATGCAACCTTCTCCTCTGCATGTAGGGTAAGTATTTAGAGGTTCCAAGGACTGAGGCATGATATTTTTAGAGGCCATTATTCTGTCTGCTGTGATGTCTAATAAGCACCTCTCCCTTGACACGTCTACACCTGAACTCCTTCTCCTCCCTCCACAATCCTCTCTACCTGCAGCTGCCCTAATCTGAGCTGACGGCAAACTCAGCCTTCCAGTTGTGCAGGTCACAGGTACTCAGCTCCGCCTTTACTGCCCCTCGCCTCTGGCCAATCAGCTGATCTCTCTGGCTCTACCCTCCGCATCTATCCCTCAACTTCCCATTCCCCGTGGGCCTGGGTCTGTCAGCCTCTCCTTGCCTGGACAGTTTCAATGGTCTCACCTCCGGGCTGCATGCTTCTCCCTTGTCCCTTGGGACACTTCTTAACAGAGTGGACAAAGAGGGCTTCCTGAAAGCAAGCCGAATCATGTCCATCTTGTTGTGACCTGAAACTTCCTAAAAGGGAAGCTGTATAACCATGTTTCTAGATGTGCCTTGTTTGGGACAACTCAGTAACAGACCCAACACACCCTGCCTTGGCCTTGTTACCTCAGCCAGCCCTGCCCTTGGGAGGGGTCTTCCTGGGGACCCATTTTCCAAGTGCATGCCCCCATCCACCTCCTTCATCAGGCACTCACGTTCTAGGTGACTAGTACCTATCTCCTCTAATCACCCAAGGCCAGGTGGCTCAGGTTAGCATGGCGCCAATGCCCCCGAGCTCACTGAAGTGACTCAAACTGCCAATCCTAAGACTGCTTGCCCTGCCTCCTTATCCATTCCCACACTAACCTCAGTCAAGGCTGTGCCCACTGTCCCCTTCTCCCTCTGCCTGGTGACCAACCCTGGTGTCCCCTGTGGTTCCCTGCGGAATGTCATGCCCCTTTCCCCTGGGGACTATGGATCATAAGCCCTCTTCTTGGTGGCACTCATTCCTGACCCGTCCACTTCAGCACACATCAGCTGTGTTGAGGCACTGTCCCGAGGAGCAGACATCCAAGACTCAGACCTGCAGGGATCCAAGTGCTGCTTTGTTGGAGCCCTTGTCTTAGACATGATGAAGAGTTTCCTGAACCTCTCCTGAGCCGAATTTCACCCACTCAAACACCCCCTCAAGGGCACATCTCTGCTACAACGGCCTTCGAGGCAGGCCAAAGGACTGCCTTCCCACAGGCAAGCGGAAAAGCAAGGGGGAGAAGTGGAGCAGGTCTAACCCAGCACCTGCTCCCTGGACTCCTACTGGTGGAGAACAGGAAGGGAGGGCAGAGGGACCACGAGTGCTCTGGTTTTTTCCCTCCTCAGGGAAACCAGGCTAGTGGGGAATAAATGCTCCTTCTTCATTCTTACTGATACCTTGGTTTAGGGAACTAGCTTCATGATGCAGAGAGAGGCTTATTTCTGCAGCTCAATTTGTCTGCAGAGGGTGGATGGATATGAATTAGGGGCACTAGAAGATGCTGACACTGCGGAGAAATGCCAAGGTGAGGGAGGGATTTCTGACATGGCTCCTGTGGTTCTCACCTCCAGATGCTCAGAGCCTTCTGTTATCTCCTCCCCTTCAGTGTGGCTGGACCTATTCACTGCTTCTAAAAAAAAAAACAGGAGACAGCAAAAGTGATGAACTATTTCCAAAATAAGATGACATAAGTCAGCAACACCCCTCTCTCCCTCTCTTCCTCTCCCTCTCCTCTCAGGCTTGCCCTGGTGGAGCAAACATCATGTGTGGAGAGACCCACAGGTCCAGATGTCAAGGACATGATGGTAGCCTCCAGCCAAAAGCCAGTGAGGAACCCAGCCCCTCACTCCAACATCCCAAGAGGGTAGGAATCCTGTCAACAATCACATGAATGAGCTTGAAAGCAAAGCATTTCCCAACTGAGCCATGAGGCACCTACAGCCCTGGATGACACTGTAAGCAAATCCTATCAGTGATCCCGAAGTGGGGAACCCACCTATGCCACAAGCAGCTTCCTGACCCCCACACACTGAGATGAGAAATTGTGTCACTGTGAGTGTTATGCTTTGGAGTCATTTGTTATGCAGCGATGGCTAACTAATACATAATTCTGTAGCACAGTGCTCTGCAGATAAATGCTCCAAAAATAAGATATGGATTTTTGTCATTTCTGACCATTTCCTAGCTATCTCCCATGAGTGACTGCTTTACTTCTAAGGTTAGAGACATTTTTCAAAGACCTTACTTTCTTTGGTCCTCAACTGTCTGAATCTCAGAAAATTTAGGGGCAGACAATGGAGAGATGCTCTTACTAGCTTGAGTTTGCCAGGCACCAGGGGACTAACACAGAAATAAACTCTTTTTTTTTTTCTGTCTGTATTGGATTTTGCTGGTTCTGAATTTTTCTCCTCAACCCGGTCAGTGAGCTGCAGCCCCAATCCAGCCCCAGCTGAATAGCTTGAAAGTGGTGCCGGATAAAAACAGCACAGCCCACACAGAAGCAAGTCTCCATTCCCACGTTGCCATAGAAATAGGGAAAAGGTGACTAATAAATGCCTGGGCTGGATCGTGGTAATGAGGAGCCGGGAATAAAGCCCCCGGGATTGCTCACACACAGAACCTGGGGGCTCAGGCAGAGGAGCACCGCAAGGAAGCTGGTTCCCAGCAAAGGTGTGGGTGACTCACAGAGGATGCATGCTCCAAAGGTCTCTGTAAAGCAGCAGTTTTTCATGTCTGATGTCAGTGCTCCTGAGGAGCCACCCATGCCACCTTGCCCGGGTCGGTCACTGATTCCAGGTAGACATAGGACAAGCTACCCAGAGCCTCACCTGAGGCCCAGGCTCCCCCTTCTCTCTCTTTTACTTCCATTCTTTTTTGTGTTTTGCATGCATGTGGTCTTCCAGGGATCTTTACTTGTTTCCATCTCAGTTCCAGGGTCTTCTTGTAGTGGCTTCTCCATCAGGTTCCTGTTCTGTCTCCAACATGGTTTTTATTTTTAATTTTTTAAAATTCTAATTTGTTATATATGACAGCAGAATGCATTGCAATTCATAGGACACATAGAGAGCACATTTTTCATGTCTCTGGTTGTACACAAAGTAGAGTCACACTATTCATGTCTTCATGCATGGACTTAGGGTTATGACGTCCATCTTATTCATCTTTTTTACACTCCTTGCCCCCTCCCTTCCCCTCCCTCCTCTTTGCCTTATCTAGAGTTCATCTAATCCTCCCATGCTCCCCCTCCCTACCCCACTATGAATCAGCCTCCTTATATCAGAGAAAACTTTTGGCATCTGGGTTTGGGGGATTGGCTAACTTCACTTCGCCTTATCTTTCTAACTCCATCCATTTACCTGCAAATACCATGATTTTATTCTCTTTTATTGCTGAATAGTATTCCATTGTGTATAAATACCACATTTTCTTTATTCATTCATCCACTGAAGGGCATCTAGGTTGGTTCCACAGTTTAGCTATTGTGAATTGTGCTGCAATAAACACTGATGTGGCTGAGTCCCTGTAGTATGCTGTTTTGAAGTCCTTTGGTATACACCAAAGAGTGGGATAGCTGGGTCAAATGGTGATTGCATTTCAAGTTTTCCAAGGAATCTCCATACTGCTTTCCATATTGGCTGCACCAATTTGCAGTACCACAAGCCAACGTATGAGTATGCCTTTTCCTCCACATCCTCACCAACATTTATTGTTGTTTGTATTCATAATAGCTGCCATTCTGACTGGAGTAAGATAAAATCTTAGAGTAGTTTTAATTTGTGTTTCTCTAATTGCTAGTGATGATGAAAAATTTTCATATATTTGTTGATTGATTGTATGTCACCTTCTAAGAAATGTTTGGCCCATTTATTGATTGGGTTATTTGTTTTTTGGTGTTTAGCTTTTTGAGTTCTTTATATACCCTAGAGATTAGTGCTCTATCTGATGTGCAAGTGGAAAAAATTTGCTCCCATGCTGTAGGCTCTCTATTCACCTTATAGATTGTTTCTTTTGCTGGGAAGAAGCTTTTTAGTTTGAATCCATCCCATTTATTAATTCTTGATTTTAATTCATGTGCGATAGGAGTCTTAATAAGGAAGTAGGGGCCTAATCTGATATGACGAAGATTGGGGTCTACTTTTTCTTCTATTAGAGTTTGGAATTGCTCCCTCTTTTTCTATTTCCTGAAATAAATTGAAGAGTATTGGTGTTAGTTCTTCTTTAAAGGTCTTGTAGAACTCGGCTGTATATCCATCTGGCCCTGGGCTTTTCTTGTTTGGTAAGCTTCTGATGGCACCTTCTATTTCGTCACTTGAAATTGATCTGTTTAAATTATTTATATCATTCTGATTCAATTTGGGCAAATCATATGACTCAATTTGTCAATGCCTTCAATATTTTCTATTTTATTGGAGTACAAGTTTTCAAAATAATTTCTAATCATCCTTTGTATTTCTGTAGTGTCTGTTGTGATATTTTCTTTTTCATCACATATGCTGGTAATTTGAGTCCTCTCTCTCCTTATCTTTGCTAGCATGGCTTAGGGTCTGTCAAGTTTATTTATTTTTTCAAAGAACCAATTTTTGTTTTGTCAAATTTTTCAATTGTTTCTTTTGTTTAAATTTCATTGATTTTGGCTCTAATTTTATTTATTTCCTGTCTTCTACTGTTTTGAGTGTTGATTTGTTCTTTTTCTAGGGCTTTGAAATGTAATGTTAAGTCATTTATTTGTTGACTTTTCTTATTTTAAGGAATGAACTCCATGCAATGAACTTTTCTCTCAGTACTGCCTTCATAGTGTCCAAGGGATTTTGATACATTGTACCTATATTCTCATTCACCTCTAAGAATCTTTTATTCTCTTCCTCCATTTCTTTTGCATCCCGTTTTTCATTCAGTAGCATATTATTTAGTCTTCAGGTGTTGGAGTAGCTTTTAGAAAAGGATTCATGTGCTACTGAGAAGAATGTATATTCGTTCATTGAAGGGAGAAATATTCTATGTATGTCAGTCAAATCTAAGTTATTGATTGTATATTGAGATCCATAGTTTCTTTGTTCAACTTTTGTTTGAACGATCTATATCCAATGGTGAAAGAGGTGTGTTAAAGTCTCTCAGAATTATTGTGTGATTTGATTCTTGAACCTGAGAAGAGTATGTTTGATGTACGTAGATGCTCCATTATTTGGGCCATATAAATTTATTATTGTTATGTGTTGTTGGTGTATGGTTCTCTTAAGCAGTATGAAATGTCCTTCTTTATCCCTTTTGATTAACTTTGGCTTAAAGTCTACTTTATTTTATATGAGGATGGAAACCCCTGCTTGCTTCCACAGTGCAAACCCCTGCTTGCTTCCAAAGTCCGCAAGCTTTCACCATCAATCTGTGGATGTCGTTTCCTATCAGATGAGTCTCTTGGAGGAGGCATATTGTTGTTGTTGTTGTTTTTTAAATCCAACCTGCCAGCCTATGTCTTTGGATTGGTGAGTTTAGACCATTAACATTCAGGATTATTATTGAGACATGATTTATATTTCCAGTTATTTTGTTTATTTTTGGTATTTAACTGGACTTGCTTTGTCCTTTGATTCATTTTTCCTTTAGGGTAAAACCTCCCTTTTCTGATTTTCATTGTTTTTTTTTTTTTTCAAATCCTCTTCATGGACCATTCTGCAGAGGATGTTCTGCAGACTTTCGAGTTGTAAAATCTTTTAACTTCTGTTTATCATGGAAGGTTTTAGTTTCATCATCCAATCTAAAGCCTAAATTTGTTGGATATAAGATTCTTGGTTGGCATCCATTTTCTTTCAGAGATTGATATATGTTGTTCCAGGATCTTCTAGCTTTTAGAGTCTGTGTTATAAAATCTGCACATAATCGAATTGGTTTCCCCCTATATGTAATCTGATTCCTTTCTCTTGCAGCTTTTAATATTCTCTCCTTATTCTGTATGTTAGGCATTTTCATTATGATGTGCCTTGGTGTGGATCTCTTGTGATTTTGTACATATGGCATCCTATAAGACTCTTGAATTGGTTTTCCAATTCATTATTCATGTTTAGAAAAATTTTTGACATCATTTCATTAAATAAATTGCTCATTCCTTTGGTTTGTAACTCGGTGCCTTCCTCTATCCCAATAACTCTTAAATTTGTTTTTTCTTTTATGCTATCCCATATTTCTTGAATGTTCTGTTCATGGTTTCTTACCATTTTCCCTGTGTGGTCTACATTCTTTTCAAGATTATATATTTTGTCTTCATTGTCTGAGGTCCTGCCTTCCAAGTGGTCTAATCTTTTGATGATGCTTTCTATTGAACTTTTAATTTGGTTTATTGTTTTTTTTTTTTCATTTCAAGGATTTCTGTTTTTTTAATCTATCTCCCTATTGAAGTAATCTTTTGCTTCCTGTATTTGTTTATGTAGCTCTTTGTCAAAAAGATCTTTTGTTGCCTATATTTGCTCTCTTATATTACCCTTTAATTCACAGAACATTTTAATCATGTACATCCTGGACTCCTTATCTGTGATTTCTTCTGCTGTTCTGGCCATGGATTCTAATAGTGGTGTCTTAATATGTTTGGGGCACTTTCTTCCCTTGTCTTTTCATATTGCTTGTGTGTCTTTCCTTCTA